TTTTCTTGGAAACTATAAGAGATATGGCCAAAACAAGTGAAATCTGTGATCACTGTTATTTCCCATGAAAAATCGATTTTTTGTGTCAAAACATAAAAGTCCATTTTTCTTGGAAACTATAAGAGATATGGCCATAACAAGTGAAATCTGTGATCACTTTTATTTCCCATGAAAAATCGATTTTTTGTGTCAAAACATAAAAGTCCATTTTTCTTGGAAACTATAAGAGATATGGCCAAAACAAGTGAACTCTGTGATCACTTTTATTTCCCATGAAAAATCGATTTCTTGTGAGAAAACATAAAAGTCCATTTTTCTTGGAAACTATAAGAGATATGGCCAAAACAAGTGAAATCTGTGATCACTTTTATTTCCCATGAAAAATCGACTTTTTGAGTGAAAACATAAAAGTCAATTTTTCTCGGAAACTATAAGAGATATGGCCAAAACAAGTGAAATCTGTGATCACTTTTATTTCCCATGAAAAATCTATTTTTTGTGTCAAAACATAAAAGTCCATTTTTCTTGGAAACTATAAGAGATATGGCCAAAACAAGTGAAATCTGTGATCACTTTTATTTCCCATGAAAAATCGATTTTTTGTGTCAAAACATAAAAGTCCATTTTTCTTGGAAACTATAAGAGATATGGCCATAACAAGTGAACTCTGTGATCACTTTTATTTCTCATGAAAAATCGATTTTTTGTGTCAAAACATAAAAGTCCATTTTTCTTGGAAACTATAAGAGATATGGCCAAAACAAGTGAAATCTGTGATCACTTTTATTACCCATGAAAAATCGATTTCTTGCGAGAAAACATAAAAGTCCATTTTTCTTGGAAACTATAAGAGATATGGCCAAAACAAATGAAATCTGTGATCACATTTATTTCTCATGAAAAATCGATTTTTTGTGTCAAAACATAAAAGTACATTTTTCTTGGAAACTATAAGAGATATGGCCAAAACAAGTGAAAACTGTGATTATTTTTATTACCCATGAAAAATCGTTTTTTGTGTCAAAACATAAAAGTCCATTTTTCTTGGAAACTATAAGAGATATGGCCAAAACAAGTGAAATCTGTGATCACTTTTATTTCCCATGAAAAATCTATTTTTTGAGTCAAAACATAAAAGTCCACTTTTCTTGGAAACTATAAGAGATATGGCCAAAACAAGTGAAGTCTGTGATCACTTTTATTTCCTATCAAAAATCGATTTTTGAGTCAAAACATAAAAGTCCATTTTTCTTGGAAACAATAAGAGATATGGCCAAAACAAGTGAAATCTGTGATCACTTTTATTTCCCATGAAAAATCGATTTCTTGTGAGAAAACATAAAAGTCCATTTTTCTTGGAAACTATAAGAGATATGGCCAAAACAAGTGAAATCTGTGATCACTTTTATTTCCTATAAAAAATCGATTTTTTGAGTCAAAACATAAAAGTCCATTTTTCTTGGAAACTATAAGAGATATGGCCAAAACAAGTGAAATCTGTGATCACTTTCATTTCCTATGAAAAATCGATTTTTTGAGTCAAAACATAAAAGTCCATTTTTCTTATAAACTATAAGAGATATGGTAAAAACAAGTGAAATCTGTGATCACTTTTATTTCCCATGAAAAATCGGTTTTTTGAGTGAAACATAAAAGTCCATTTTTCTCGAAAACTATAAGAGATATGGCCAAAACAAATGAAATCTGTGATCACTTCCATTTCCCATGAAAAATCGATTTTTTTAGTGAAAACATAAAAGTCCATTTTTCTTGGAAACTATAAGAGATATGGCCATAACAAGTGAAATCTGTGATCACTTTTATTTCCCATGAAAAATCGATTTTTTGTGTCAAAACATAAAAGTCCATTTTTCTTGGAAACTATAAGAGATATGGCCAAAACAAGTGAAATCTGTGATCACTTTTATTTCCCATGAAAAATCGACTTCTTCAGTGAAAACATAAAAGTCCATTTTTCTCGGAAACTATAAGAGATATGGCCAAAACAAGTGAAATCTGTGATCACTTTTATTTCCCATGAAAAATCGATTTTTTGTGTCAAAACATAAAAGTCCATTTTTCTTGGAAACTATAAGAGATATGGCCATAACAAGTGAAATCTGTGATCACTTTTATTTCCCATGAAAAATCGATTTTTTGTGTCAAAACATAAAAGTCCATTTTTCTTGGAAACTATAAGAGATATGGCCAAAACAAGTGAAATCTGTGATCACTTTTATTTCCCATGAAAAATCGATTTTTTGTGTCAAAACATAAAAGTCCATTTTTCTTGGAAACTATAAGAGATATGGCCATAACAAGTGAAATCTGTGATCACTTTTATTTCCCATGAAAAATCGATTTTTTGTGTCAAAACATAAAAGTCCATTTTTCTTGGAAACTATAAGAGATATGGCCATAACAAGTGAAATCTGTGATCACTTTTATTTCCCATGAAAAATCGATTTTTTGTGTCAAAACATAAAAGTCCATTTTTCTTGGAAACTATAAGAGATATGGCCAAAACAAGTGAAATCTGTGATCACTTTTATTTCCCATGAAAAATCGATTTCTTGTGAGAAAACATAAAAGTCCATTTTTCTTGGAAACTATAAGAGATATGGCCAAAACAAGTGAAATCTGTGATCACTTTTATTTCCCATGAAAAATCGACTTTTTGAGTGAAAACATAAAAGTCCATTTTTCTCGGAAACTATAAGAGATATGGCCAAAACAAGTGAAATCTGTGATCACTTTTATTTCCCATGAAAAATCGATTTTTTGTGTCAAAACATAAAAGTCCATTTTTCTTGGAAACTATAAGAGATATGGCCATAACAATCTGTGATCACTTTTATTTCCCATGAAAAATCGATTTTTTGTGTCAAAACATAAAAGTCCATTTTTCTTGGAAACTATAAGAGATATGGCCAAAACAAGTGAAATCTGTGATCACTTTTATTTCCCATGAAAAATTGATTTTTTGTGTCAAAACATAAAAGTCCATTTTTCTCGGAAACTATAAGAGATATGGCCAAAACAAGTGAAATCTGTGATCACTTTTATTTCCCATGAAAAATCGATTTTTTGTGTCAAAACATAAAAGTCCATTTTTCTTGGAAACTATAAGAGATATGGCCAAAACAAGTGAAATCTGTGATCACTATTATTTCCCATGAAAAATTGATTTTTTGAGTGAAAACATAAAAGTCTATTTTTCTCGGAAACTATAAGAGATATGGCCAACACAAGTGAAATCTGTGATCACTTTTATTTCCCATAAAAAATTGATTGTTTGAGTCAAAACATAAAAGTCCATTTTTCTCGGAAACTATAAGAGATATAGCCAAAACAAGTGAAATCTGTGATCACTTTTATTTCCCATGAAAAATCGATTTTTTGAGTGAAAACATAAAAGTCTATTTTTCTCGGAAACTATAAGTTATATGGCCAAAACAAGTGAAATCTGTGATCACTTTTATTTCCCATGAAAAATCGATTTTTTGAGTCAAAACATAAAAGTCCATTTTTCTCGGAAACTATAAGAGATATAGCCAAAACAAGTGAAATCTGTGATCACTTTTATTTCCCATGAAAAATCGATTTTTTGAGTGAAAACATAAAAGTCCATTTTTCTCGAAAACTATAAGAGATATGGCCAAAACAAGTGAAATCTGTGATCACTTTTATTTACATAAAAGTCCATTTTTCTCGGAAACTATAAGTTATATGGCCAAAACAAGTGAAATCTGTGATCACTTTTATTTCCCATGAAAAATCGATTTTTTTTGGTGAAAAAATAAAATTCCAATTTTCTCGGAAACTATAAGAGATATGGCCAAAACAAATGAAATCTGTGATCACTTTTATTTCTCATGAAAAATCGATTTTTTGTGTCAAAACAAAGTCCATTTTTCTTATAAACTATAAGAGATATGGTAAAAACAAGTGAAATCTGTGATCACTTTTATTTCCCATGAAAAATCGGTTTTTTGAGTGAAACATAAAAGTCCATTTTTCTCGAAAACTATAAGAGATATGGCCAAAACAAATGAAATCTGTGATCACTTCCATTTCCCATGAAAAATCGATTTTTTTAGTGAAAACATAAAAGTCCATTTTTCTTGGAAACTATAAGAGATATGGCCATAACAAGTGAAATCTGTGATCACTTTTATTTCCCATGAAAAATCGATTTTTTGTGTCAAAACATAAAAGTCCATTTTTCTTGGAAACTATAAGAGATATGGCAAAAACAAGTGAAATCTGTGATCACTTTTATTTCCCATGAAAAATCGACTTTTTCAGTGAAAACATAAAAGTCCATTTTTCTCGGAAACTATAAGAGATATGGCCAAAACAAGTGAAATCTGTGATCACTTTTATTTCCCATGAAAAATCGATTTTTTGTGTCAAAACATAAAAGTCCATTTTTCTTGGAAACTATAAGAGATATGGCCAAAACAAGTGAAATCTGTGATCACTTTTATTTTCCATGAAAAGTCAAGAGATATGGCCAAAACAAGTGAAATCTGTGATCACTTTTATTTCTCATAAAAACTGACTGAAAAAACTAATTGGTTTAATATTTGGATTGATTTCTTATTATTGCTCCCTCGCTCTATCTCTCTTAAAAGTAAATACATAGCCATTGATAACAAATTCAGTTAAATTGAATCATTTGTTTGATCAACTTTCTCTTCATATACTAAACATGTTAGAAACAAACAAGATAATTGTATAACTAAATAGTGCAATACGATTTCAAACGAACCTCAAAATGTTTGTATTTTTTCCAAGAAATTGTTTGTGTTATCAACAAATATTATGGACTCTTAAAAATATATTGAATAAAAAATAAGCGGTTATCGGTAGTTCCATTTGAAATAACTGAAAACAGTTGTGTTTGGACAAAAATATACTACGTATGCAATGAGATAAGTATTATTGTTGTAATAGTATTTTCCATTGCTTTCGGTTTCTACTGATATCTGACAGGTAAGCAATTAAGACTTGTCAACATGAAAAAAGTGACTCAAAGTATTTAGTTTGTTAAAAGTATTTCATAAGTGAGGTGCAATATTTTAAAATATTATTAAAAGAAATATGGGTAAATAATATATTTTAATATTAATTAATATTACAAATATTTGATATATATAAGTGCGTTTAATTATTAGAACACAAGTGGATTAATTGTGCTAATGGAGCTGTACCCTCTTTGGCTGTAGTAGCTGGTCATGATTCCGATGGTGATGCCATTTATATAGGTCGTGCTGAGTACTCTGGCGATCTTTTACCCGCTAAAGTTATACCCAATAAAGGTAAAGCTTACGTGTCTTTTGGTGGCCAAGAAGTGGAAGTTGATACTTATGAGGTATTGAGTGGTTTACGTTATCAGTGGATTCCTGCTGCTAATGGTGATGTACCACCCGCTGCCGTTAAAGTAGGCCGTGCTGCTGATGGTGACTTTTTATATGCTGGCCGTGGTCATCATGAAGGTAGTTTGACAGTGGGCAAAGTTCATCCTTCCCACGGTTGCTTGTACATACCCTATGGCGAAGCCGAAGTTAAACTTTCGGAATATGAAGTGTTGACCCAACCCGATCAATGGATTGCCGCAACTGCCGATTCTATGCCCGAAGATGCTTTAGAGGGTGGCCGTGATGCTGATGGTGATCCGATTTATGTGGGACGTGTTTTTAAAGACGGCGATCTTATGCCTGCTAAAGTTATACCCAATAAAGGTGGTGCCTATGTTGCCTATGACAGTGAAGAGCATAAAGTGGAAAATTTCCAAGTTTTAGCTGGTGCTGGTTTTATGTGGACTCACTGTGATAATGGTAATATTGTACCGGGTGCTGTGCCAGCTGGCAATACTTGTGATGGTGAAACTTTATATATTGGTCGTGCTGAACATGAGGGTAGTATTTGCGTGGGCAAGATACATCCTTCGCATGGTTGTTTATATTTGCCCTATGGCGGTGGTGAGGTCAAGGTGGAATCGTATGAAATTTTAGTTAGAGTTTAAGGTATTAAATTTATGGTTTTGTATATTTTTACGTATTAGATATGAATATAAATAAAGTATAAAGTGTTTTACATTAATGATTCTTTTTTATAGTTTACTAGCTATACCCAGTGTGATTCGCTACTCAATACAATAATAATACTTGGATATCACATGTATTTTAAGGTTCTTCATGTAAAATTTCCCAGATATACGAATTTTTGCCTTTAATTCATATTGAAAGCGTCATTCCCTCTATTGCCAGTCCGGCCATTCTTTCCCAAATTGTTAATATGGATTCTATTGTTGACAGTGCAATTTTGTTAATATAAAGCATTTCCATAAAAAAATTGTATCTGTATTAACTTCTTGATTTTAATTGGCCAAATTAAATACATAAAACAACTATATATTAAAACACTATTTGATTTTGTTTAATCTCTTTCTCCCGCTCCTCAAACCAAATACACAGTAAATAAATCACAAATTAAACAAAGAAACTTTAACCAATCTGAATACTTTTTTATTCCAAAACCATTAACACTAACGGTCAAATAAAATATTCAATACAAGTATTTGCATAATAATGACCCTGATGTTTGGCGATGCACTTCTCTATGCATTGTATGCATCATGATAACAATAGTTTTCTGTTGCATTTTAAAGTGGCAACAACAATTTGAATGTTCAATGAGTTTTAGTTTGCAACAAAAGCTAAAAAAAAAACAAAAACTAAAATAAAATTTAAGCGCACAAATACTGATTGTCGTTTTGGGAAACATTTAGTTTTGTGATTTTGAAATAATTTGAATGAATTTTTTATAGAAAACAACAAAACTTTTTCTATAATATTTTATGCAATAGTATTTTTTTGGCTAAAATAATTGTTAAATAATGATTTGTTCATCATTTATTTAAACATGTGATTGTTATTATTTTAGAATTTGTTTCTACTTACAATTTATAAACATTTTTATGTATTGTTAGTTGTGTTATAAAAACTCCATTGATTTAACATGTGTTTTTGAATAAAATAATAATAACGTTTTTAGAACATTTTATTTTAAAGGAAATAAAAATGCTTTCGTTAAATAGAAAACAATATAATTTATTAATGTAATACAAATTTTTATGGTACTCACTGTAATTGTTTAAATATAAATCTGCAAAACTCAAAATTTGCTACTTGAAGTTTTTCTTGGAAATCAAAGTTAAACTACGGATTTCTCTTTAAAACTCAAATCTTTGCGTGTCCACATGATTACAACTATGCTGTAACTTCGGAGCAAAAAAAAATAAAAACAAGAACAAAGGAACTTTTTAGTTTCAATATAAAAAATAAAAACTCCATTCTATCCCACCGAGATCCTTTTAAATTTAACCAACAAGTGTTCCATAACATTTTAGTACCCAACTCCTCCTGGTCAACCGAATTCTTTAACTTCGATTGGTAATGTTGACAAGTGTGAATGTGTTGGTAACATTCAAATGTAAACACTCATATAGAAGTCCATGCAGTACTGAACTCATGGTTAATCCTACTACCTAATGTTAAAGTTAAAAGGATTAGACCATAGAATAGTTCATACATGTCTAGCCTACTGACTAGTCTATTGACTATTCTATAGACTAGTCTACGGACTACTCTATGGACTAGTCTACGGACTACTCTATAGACTAGTCTACGGTTTACTCTATAGACTAGTCTATGGACTACTCTATAGACTAGTCTGCGGACTACTCTATAGACTAGTCTACGGACTAATCTATAGACTAGTCTACGGACTACTCTATAGACTAGTCTACGGACTACTCTATAGACTAGTCTACGGACTACTCTATAGACTAGTCTACGGACTACTCTATACTAGTCTACGGACTACTCTACAGAATAGTCTACGGACTACTCTACAGACTTGTCTACGGACTACTCTACAGACTAGTCTACGGACTACTCTATAGACTAGTCTACGGGACTACTCTATAAACTAGTCAACGGGACTACTCTATAGACTAGTCAACGGGACTACTCTATAGACTAGTCAACGGGACTACTCTATAGACTAGTCAACGGGACTACTCTATAGACTAGTCAACGGGACTACTCTATAGACTAGTCAACGGGACTACTCTATAGACTAGTCAAAGGGACTACTCTATAGACTAGTCAACGGGACTACTCTATATACTAGTCAACGGGACTACTCTATAGACTAGTCAACGGGACTACTCTATAGACTAGTCAACGGGACTACTATATAGACTAGTCAACGGGACTACTCTATAGACTAGTCAACGGGACTACTCAATAGACTAGTCAACGGGACTACTCTATAGACTAGTCAACGGGACTACTCTATAGACTAGTCAACGGGACTACTCTATAGACTAGTCAACGGGACTACTCTATAGACTATTCTATAGACTAGTGTATGGACTATACCATAGACTAGTCTATGGACTATACCATAGACTAGTCTATGGACTATTCTATAGACTAGTCCATGGACTATTCCATGGACTATTCTATAGACTATTCTATGGACTATTCTATAGACTATTCTATGGGCTATTCTATGGACTATTCTATAGACTATTCTATGGACTTTTCTATAGACTAGTCTATGGACTATTCTATAGTCTAGTCTATGCACTATTCTATAGACTAGTCTATGCACTATTCTATAGACTATTCTATAGACGAGTCTATGGACTATTCTATAGACCAATCTATGGACTATTCTATAGATTAGTCTATGGACTATTCTATAGACTAGTCTATGGACTATTTTATAGACTAGTCTATGGACTATTTTATAGACTGGTCTATAGACTATTTTATAGACTAGTCTATGGACTATTTTATAGACTAGTCTATGGATTAATCTATAGACTAGTCTATGGACTATTCTATAGACTAGTCTATGGACTATTCTATAGACTAGTCTATGGACTATTCTATAAACTAGTCTATGGACTATTCCATAGACTAGTCTATGGACTATTCTATAGATCAGTCTATGGACTATTCTAAAGAATAGTCCATAGACTATAGTCCATAGATAGACCATAGTCCATATATAGTCTATATTATATAGTCCATATTCTATAGACTAGTCTATGGACTATTCGATAGACTAGTATATGGACTATTCGATAGATTAGTCTATGGACTATTCTATAGATCCGTCTATATTCTATCAGTCTATAGACTAGTCTATGGACTATTCTATAGTCGAGTCTATGGACTATTATATAGACTAGTTTATGGACTATTCTATAGACTAGTCTATGGACTATTTTATAGACTAGTCTATGAACTATTCTTTAGACTAAGAACTGTTCTATGAACTATCCTATGGATTACTGTAGGGACTAGTCTATTGGCCATTCTATTGACCAATTTATTGACTAGTCTATTGAATAAAAAATACTTTTATTCTTAATCCTTAAAAGTTATAATTTTAAATTTTAAGATATAAGAAAAATATTTCCCTAAAAAGGATACATTAACACCTTTAAAACCACTTGGTATATTTCTGTGTCAGAGTAGCTGTTGTAGTTGTCAAGTTTTGTCAAGACATTGCTTTTATGTTGCAGGTTTTCGCACTTTCGTTACACTACAAACTGCTGCAAGAAGCAAAAGAAGATATGGAAGAAAAAAATTGTTATTTGCGAACAAAATCAAAACCAAATGGTAACAACTGGTTATTTAAACGTTAGAAAAAGGAAAGTGCTGGTAAATGTTTGCTGTGAAGTGTGAAGAGAGAAAAAAAGAAGAAAAACCCACATTAAACAAACAAATAGATGAGTGTGAATGAAAAAGCAGGGTAGAACAGTGTTTTCCATACGAGTATTAACTAAACATGTATGAAACTTCAATGAAGTGTAAGTAGATTTGTATGTAATACTAGTAGGAGTATGTTTGAGTTTGTTTGAGATTTAATAGAAGTGTCCTCATGGATAACGGAGTAATACATGGTTACGTATGGTTGCAAGTAAACTGAAAGTAAATAAAACTTTTTTTTTTCATATACAGACACACACACACAAATTAGCCGTTGATGGGATTCTAGTAAATTCATTCATTCTACTAATGTAGAAAAGCATTTGAAAAATTTCTCCAAAAATGCTTATACAAGTTTAAAACATGGTTAGTATCCTGAGTTTGTTGTACATACTCTGGATGAAGTGTCTAATTCGAGATTTTTTTTGCTCACATTGATGTCACATTGAAAATGTCGTATAATTTAATATACGTGTGAAAGTGCTTTTAAATTTGCCTGTTAAAAGGATATTCTCTTCGTATAGGGAACTTTAAAAAGATATTTTTATATTTTATAATTTTTTCATTAAATAATTTTTTTTTAGAAAATTCAAAAAACTTTTTAACAATAAAAATTCTGCAAATTTTCTTTCAATATTTTTTTTGCCAAGCCGGAAACTATGACACCAACTATGACTGCTCCCTTTAAAGTTTAAACTTATTTGACATAAATAAATGTTAACTTCTAATTACTCTTAACACTTTCCTTTATTCTTTACACAAACTCGTATTCTAGGAAATAAAGTAAAATTTCATTTATAGAAAGTTTTTTTTTAATGAATATGTTGTAAGTTTGAGTGTTAGTACAGTTAACAGTGTATCAAACTTGAAATAATTTAAAAACTTTCTTAAGATAACACAGGACGACAACTTTTTAACCCAGCCATCAAAAAAAATTGATTTTTCGCCGAATCGGAATACCTCCAAGACTACTTTATTTACGTTAACTTTAAAATAAAGGCTTAATATATGACATATCTTCTTTCTTATTCGAGATATCTTCACTTAAAGCGTGAAAACTCATGGTTTTTGTTATATTCATTACAATTATGAGATCAATTTCGAATTCAGCGCGACTCAATCCTATAGGAAAGTATAACTTATTCTCAGGGTTTAGACTTTTTTCAAATTTTGTCGGCCTGTGTAATCATTCATTAAGCATATGAAGTTTTCGTAGCGTTAATGAAAATACATTTCGTTAAATAGTTGAAAAATTCAAAATTAAGTGACAACCTAGTGTTTTAATTACAAACCTAAAGAATGAAGGAATTA